TATATATATATATATATATATATATATATTAAAAAGAAAGAAATTTAGAAGCTACTTTGTTTCTTTTTCTTTCTTTGCCTTTGCATTTTTAGCCTTTAATTTCAAATCTCATCCCCCTTTACCCCCTACTTTATATTTTACTTTATTATATCTGCCATCTGGACCCAGGATAGCCTAATAGCCCTCTTTGTCTCTCTTTCCTTTAGGCCTCCCCAAATCTAACCACACAGCAAGAAGCAGAGCGCCAGACCATCCAATCATTGCGCCAGGGAGGTGCCTTGACAAGCAAGTTCCTCAGCATGTCATCTATTCCCAGTTGCCTTCTGGGGGTTGCTCTTGAGGGAGAGACCAATAATCATGGGCATGCTTCCTTGCTTCAACATGTCCTGCTTCTGGAACAAGCTCGGCAACAGAATACACTAATTGCTGGTGAGCAGGTCAAGTGAGAGTGTGCCCACAAGGGTTGGGCATGGTATAGAAATGTAGTACTCAACCATTGTTGCTTGGAACAGTTGAGAAACAAGGAGAAATGGAGTAGCAGGGACACCACTATATAGCATTCAATGGAAGTTAATAACATTTATTTTTTATCCTGTCCTAATTTTTTTTAAAGAACTCAAGATGATGAACATTCCTAATACTCCTTCCTCCTATTTTCTCCACAACAGCAACCCTGTGAGGTGAATTAGGCTAAGAGAGAATGAGTGGCCCAAAGTCACCCAGTGGGCTTTCCTGCCTAAGGGAGAACAAAAACTTAAGTCTTAAGGCTCTAAATCTAGAACACTATAACTGCCATTATCCTGTATCTATCTTGGGCAGTGCTGATAATTAACGAAATGTGTATCGAAGATGGCTCTGCTTAGCTGTCAAAGGCAGCTCACTTATGAAGCATTTCATTCCTTTTTATTGGTTGTTCTCAGAAAAGGATAGTACATAATTCTTCTGAAACAGAATCATTTCATTAGGCTGCTGGTCAAAATGAGTAATTTCTGCTAAGTGAAATCGGGAATCAAACATTTAAAGTGATTATTTCTGGCAAAAGATCAAAAGTGTACAAAGAGGACAGGAAACAGAGCAAATGTGTGCCTCTAGATACCTGGAATATGTTTCAAAAACAAAGTACTTCAGAGAACTTAGCTGATGTTCTCACAATCAGCACATTAACATAGCAATCTCTAATATAATACAATCAAACAAAATTTCACCAAGGGCCTGCAGCAGAGGTGGGTTACTCCAGGTTTGGCCAAACCGGTAGTGGTAATCTGGCCTGGGTCGCAGAACCGTCAACGACCTAGGCTGGCCATGCTCCTGAACTACCGTATATACTCGAGTATAGGCCGACCCGAATATAAGCCGAGGCACCTAATTTTACCACAAAAAACTGGAAAAGTTATTGACTCGAGTATAAGCCTAGGGTGGGAAATGCAGCAGCTACCGGTAAATTTCAAAAATAAAAATAGATACCAATAATGTTTTTGAATATTTATTTCAAAGAAAAACAGTAAACTAGCGGTGTATTCAATGAAATGCTTCACTCACCTCATGATGCTGATGTCCCGCTGTGATGATGATGTCCCGTGCAGCCGCGGGAGTGATGTCCCGCCTCCTATGACACACGGCACAGTGATTCCTATCATTGGATCACTGTACCAGAGGAGGTGGGACATCGCTATGTGGCTGCTTGCCATAACAAGGAGGAGGTGGGACATCGTTGCAGAGCGGCAGGAGGGGGAGGAAGGGGAATCGTAAGACAGCCCTGCATTACATTAGAACGTGAGGAGGGGGGATGGTGCGGTGCGCGCTGCGCGGCAAACTGACACAGAGGGAGGGGAAACTCACAGGGGCACTGGGCCATTCACGAGTGTCACCCAGCGGCATGGCCCCGCCCCTTTTTCTCCTCCATTTCGGGCAAATTTTTCACTGACTCGAGTATAAGCCAAGGCGGCTTTTTTCAGCCCAAAAAGTGGGCTGAAAAACTAGGCTTATACTCGAGTATATACAGTAGTTCACCGGTCTATGTTGCCATTGCTGGCATCTTGTTTATAAGCTTTTAGTCTTTGCGCATTCACAGAACCATTTACAGCGAACTGCGCCTGCACGAATCATGTGCGAGAGAAGCGAGCAGTGCGTGAGCAAGTGAACCAGTACTGGTTCGCGTAAGAACCCATTCCTGGCCTGCAGTCTATGTAGCCCCATTGTTGTAGGGCTGAGTTCTGGAGAACAAGCAATAACAAGGTTTTTGAAAGTCTAAAAAAGAAAGGTGTCAGCAGAATTCTTTTTCTGAAGCTTGCTACAGCACTATAATGGAAACAGCTTTATCACTGAGTATTAATGATACTCTAATTGTATTAAAGGTCACTGCAGATGGTTACTACAGCCATGAAATTAAAAAACACTTGTTCCTTGAAAGAAAAGCTATGATAAATCTAGACAGTATTTAAAAAAACAGAGACATCAGCTTGCCAACAAAGGTTCATATAGTCAAAGCTATGGTTGTTCCAATAGTAATGTATGACTGCAAAAGTTGGTCCATAAGGAAGGCTGAGAGCTGAAGTATTGATGCTTTAGAATTGTGATGTTGGAGAAAACCCTTGAGAGTCCCTTGGAGTACAAGAAGATCAAAATCGGTCAACCCTACAGGAAACCAACCCTAAGTGTCATTTGGAAGAATGGATACTGAAACTGAAGCTCAAACACTTTGGCCCAAATGAGAAGAAGGACTGATTGGAAAAGACCACGATGTTGGGAAAGATTGAAAGCAAAAGGAGAAGCGTGCAAGCAGAGGGTGAAATAGTTAGACAGAATCATTGATTCAATGGGCCCGAGTTTGGGCACTGTCAGTGAGAAAGTGTAGGATAGGGAGGCCAGACATGCTACGAGATCACGAAGAGCCAGACATTGGGAACTGAACAATAACAAATTAATGATACTTAATACTAATTCAAGTAATCGGTATTGCAACACTTAGAGAGGCTGCTTCAAAGTTTATCTACTTTATATTATCTACTTTGAATTGCTGAAATCAGGAAGATGGACACAATTTAATCTGTCAATGGTAAATCTGTATTTCATGAGGGCTGCATTTAATAGAGAACCGAGAGTCAACCAAAGTAGTCACTTTTATGATTATGACTTTGTGATTGACTGCAAGTGCAAATTATCAGCTAGTCATATCTTTCAGGTATCATAATTAGACACCAATCATGATAACCACCCTATCTGAAAATCCTAACTTTCTTCTTATAGGGAGCATTTATTGATTTGGGATTCTACCTCATGCCCACAGCTCTCCCAAAATGCTGGTGTTCTTATCTTCCTTCTTTTAACCACAATTGCATTTGTGGTAGAGAACTGATCAAAGGCCAGGTTATTTGTCCACCAGCCAAATATATGTTAATCTAAGGAAGACCTTTTTTCCTGTCTTATGCAGCAATGAAACGCTTCACAAATAGTAAAATAGCAATAAAGATTTTTGATGGATGGAAGCTTTCATTACTGGCCAGATGGCAAAACTTGCTGTAGCATCCAGAAAAGTGCAAGCAACTTTTCTTTCTGGAATTGCAGATTTGCAAAGCAGAAGACAAGACTTTCCTTAAAATAGATCTAGCAGAGAAGCAGATCCACCTGCCACCAGGATTTCTGATTCCTTCCAACCAGAAACTCCATGTTTTGTGCTGTGAGACTTGTCTGGAAACAGCTGGAAACATCCGAGGGCCGCAACGGAGGATCATCTTTGTGGGAAGAACCGGAAATGGGAAAAGTGCAATGGGAAACAACAATTCTGGGAAGCAAAGACTTTGAGTTTGGGCAGTCAGTTCAATCAGTAACAAGCATGGCAAAAGGAGGAGATTCAGCTGAATGACAGGAAGATTGTCCCTGTTGATTCTCCTGGCTTTTTCCACAACGACTGTTCAAAGATGATATTGCTGCAGAAGTGAGGAAATGCGTGAAGATATGCTCCCTAGATCCTCATGTCATTCTGTAGGTGATGCGTCTTGGTTGTTTCTCCCAGGAGAATGAGGTGGCTTAATTGATCAAAGAGATTTTTGGCCTTAAAGCCAGGAATTACATGATCCTCTTGTTCACCCGCAAAGAGGGTCTGGAAAATGAATCGCTTGAAAATATCATACCTGTCATAGGTAAAAATCTGAAGGAATATGTTGCTGAATGTGGCAACTGGTAACTGGCTTTCAACAACCAGGCTAAAAGGACAGAATGAAAGGCTCAGGTGGCCAAACTGATGACCATGATTGATCATTTGCGAGAACAGATATGATCCTTGTAACACAGAAGACATGATGAACTTCAACAAAATACACAACCTCTGATTGCTTCCTTTCCATCAGAAACCAGAAAATCTCTCTAAATGAGCTTTGGCTCCCAAGGTGGCAACTATGCCAAAGGCTACTGTCAAGTTTCATAAGGGGATGTTGCTATTGCAACTATTGTCACTTCTCAGCTTCCAAAAAATTATGTGCAATGGGAAGGGGGAGATAGAACCTAGGTTTCGTATATTCCAGAACCAAGGACACTTCAGCAGGTGTTTACCAGACTTTCTCACAACAATATCAGGAGGCTCCATTGGAACCTGTTTCAATAGGGGGAGGCAGAACCTGAACTTGAATTATGTCTATGTAGCTCTGCATGGGAATTAGCTAGATCTGGTTTTCCCCTCATCTTTTTTCATTTTGGTGACAAACCAGAATATGAAACTTGTGAAATCCTTTTACTAATATTTCCATGTAAAAAAATATGAATCTAGTTACATGGCTTATGGCTTTTTTTTATTTTTAAATGAAATGTGATGCAATATTTTACAAGTGTCTTCCCAATAAAGCCTGGTCTCTTCATTCCAGTTCCTCTGCATGGCCAATCCCCTCTAGTGACAGGAGAACGCATCCCCTCCAACCTACGCACTGTAAGCAAGTTGCCTCGACATCGTCCATTGAGCCGCACCCAATCATCCCCACTGCCTCAGAGCCCCCAAGCATTGCAACACTTGGTTGTGCAGCAGCAGCACCAACATTTCCTGGAGAAGCAGAAACAGCAGCAGATTCAGCTGGGAAAGGTAGGCAAAGGAAGTTGTGACCCAGGCAAACATTTGTGCACTCTATTTAGACATGAATCCATGTTCTCTGATATCCCAAGCTAAAGAAGTATATGATCAAAAGCAAAGCTCTCTCCCCCACCCCCCTTCTGATGTCATTCAGCATGCTCCAAGCTACCTGGAGCTGCTGAAATCTTCCAGCTACTGTCAACCTGTTTAAAATAGGATAATTGAGTAGTATATGTATTTTTCTCATTTCCACTTTAATCTGTAAGCGGCTAAGGGGACTAGAAATGAAGCTCAAAGAATCAAAGTCACCAGAGCAGGAAAACTATGTATTTACTGTAGCTTTCCTACCCCCACACTTCGACCTCAGAATTACTAGGCAATTAAAATGCCAGCAGTTTTTCCTTTTTAATTTTTTTCCTCTCTTGCAGATAATCACTAAGACTGGTGAGTTGCCACGGCCACCTACCACACATCCTGAAGAAACAGAAGAGGAATTGACAGAACAACAGGAATCTTTGGGGCTTGGTTTGGGCTTGGGCCAGGGGCCCTTTGTGCTGGATGGGTCAATAGAAAATGAGGGCACCCAGGATGGCTTGGATGAACAAGAGGAGGATGAGGAAGAAGAAAAGAGGGCAGCCAAAGAGCAAGGCTGTCTCCAGATGAATGATGAAGACGGAGTTAATAGGCTGGAAGAAGAACAGGAGGTTGAGGAGGTGGGAGTTACTTACAGGCAGGTGAGGCCTCTCTTAAAATAAGGTGTCATTAAAATCTCTACTGAAGTCACAGGAAAGAAGTGGTTAAAACTCCAAAAGGCTTCTCTTCTTCAAGACCAGATGCAGTATGGGAGGGGAGGCATTTATGTTCATCTGTTCATTTCCTCAGCAAGATAGCAAAGCATGTATGTATGAGAGCAAAGAACCTCTCTATGAATTATGAGACATTGTGGCCTTGACATATGCAAAGATGTGAGATTCAAATTTGCTTAGCATAACATACATGTTTAGGCATGGCAATTAATTCCTGAGCTAGCAAGGAAAACGAATCCCCCCCCCCCCCACTTCAGTATGAGAAGATTCAATAGAGGAAGTGAAATTCCATTATTTAACAGTTGTGGATGGCGTCTCCATTTTGGCAACACTGTTGACCAACTGGCATGGAAGAAGAGGGTAGAAAAGAATGGAAATAGCAAAGAAATAATGATTCTAAAAACCGTAGGGGGCATAAAGGCAGGAAGAATATTTGGGTTATTTATGATAGATGCCCCAAGAAATATGGCTGCCATGCTATTTCTTGATATTTTTTTAGTAAAGTAGAAAAAGCCCCAGAAGAGCGCAAAAGAGAGGTATGCTCCATTTGAATGATTAGTCATATTGCTTGGACACAAATATCAAGTAAAGAAAAGTATAGCATGCTTTTAAAACTAAAAACAAGCTTTTATAAAGGGAAAAGAATATTGCAGATAGTGGCAGCAGTTCCACTGGAGAGCAAACATATCAATCCCCCCATTGTTTGCTACTGTCTCTTGAGAAAGACTGAATCGAAGTAGGAAGAATAATATAGTTATGGAAGAATAGAGAAAGAGGTGCTTCATAGCACAGGGAAGGTGTATTATAAGGAACTGTTAAGTTTGAAGAACTAGTTGAATGACTGTATCTCTTGCTTCCCATTCTTCATCCCCATTCATCTTAGATAATGGAGCTCCAAAAGGGAAAGTGACTCATCTCCTGCATTACAGTCATCTTTTCTGTCTCTCTTATCCTTGGTTTCTGAGCATACTTCTGGCTTCTGAACGTCATCCTTGATTATGAGTCATTTGTCTTCCTCTTCGTTCTGTTCATTTAAAAATTTCATCAGTTCCTTATTAGAATGTGTGTTTGGCAAAGAAATAAAAACCCTTTCCTCCAGACGAAGGGTCAGCAAAGAAATCAGAATTGATTGAAAAGAGTTCAAAAATAAAGTATCTCATAGGAACATTGAGGGGTAGCTTAGGACTCATCATGCATAATATGGCATGGATGCTATTGTTAAAATGGATGCCACATATTTGGAAAATTCTTGATTTGAGTTTACTATGGAATCCTATATTTAATCAGTCAAGCATAGAACACAACACCAGTCAAACACCAGTCAAACACCAAGTATGATTCATGTCTATCATTTCCCCACATATTCAAGCTCCGTTTCCCCCCAGTGTCATCCCATAATCAATTACAGAAGATAACCATATTTGAAAATCTTGACAGTAATGTAGAATTTGCAGCCCATTGATGCTGCTGAGAGAAGATTTGTTCTCCCATTGCTACTGGCAGAGAAATTAATCTTCCTCTGTGGGTTTCAGAAACAATTGAAAGGGAGGGCAGTAGATCAGGATAAACAAATACTTCTTTTCACTTCCTATACTTCCTGATGAGTAATGTTTTGTGCTTGCCATACCTATGGGATTCAAGGCAACAGGAAGCACATCTGGGTCAGATTTGGAAGTAAGCAAAACACACAGAAACAACACATGCACTTCTCTCTGCTACTTTCCTCTCATTCTTCCACCTTATCAGAAGTTTCTTAGGGAAGGGGCAGTACATCCTTGCTTGAGAGTTAAACTAAAAATAATAATAATGAACTTTTCTAATTAACCTGGCCAGCTTGGTAACATTAGTCTACATCTTTAGAACTTGCTATAAGGTATGATTGATACCAGCCATAAAGCTGTCTAAAATAAAATTTCAGTTCTTTTATGATTCAGAAATCTAGTGTTTTTAACTACACAGTTCTCCTTGGACTATGCAAGTTATTTTGAGACAACTGTGCTGTAAAATTTCATGAAATAACTCTACAAAATTAGCTATGTTTTACTTTTTGGAAGCATTCTGAGCTCAGTGATTCAAGCTTAGAAAAGATTACTTCCAGGCTTAACTAGTTTTTTGAATGCTTCAGCTGTCCATTTCATACTCAAAACAGAACATTTTATGAAATTTCACTTTAAAATGTTTCAGAATGATATGCTTTGTACCATCCTAGCTGTGTATGTACTTGGATGAATCATAAATACATAGACAAGTAAACAAAAAAGCAACTGTCAATAAGCATTAGCTTCCTCATAAATACTATATGTTGGGCTAAATAAGGCAGTTTTTAAAAAGCTGATGAAATACTGAAGTAATCTTTTGATCTGTTTTTCTTTTTGTTTCTCTCTTGCTACTATTCCTATGAAATGTACAGGTATTCGCTGATGCGCATCAACTAAGATCTCTGCAGCTCTATCAAACTCCCCTGAGCATCAGCACTGTACCCCATCAAGCCCTTAGCCGTACCCAGTCTTCACCGGCTAGCACTAGTCTGAAGAACAGTACACCTGAGCCATTGGTCCATCACCTTTTCACTACAGGTAGGCGAAGAACTTCTTTTCCTGGAGCATGGAAAACAGAGATTATTGTCTTGCTGGGCATGAACAAGCTGCTTAGAAAGTGCATCTCCTACCCTGAAAGTTTCTTTCTCAGATATGCAAGAGATTCTGCAAATGTTCTCCTTTATTATCACAGCCAGTCCCTAGTGTCCAGGAACTAAATATTGTCTCTTTAATTTAGGACACAACAGGATTTTATCTTGAATCTCAATCAGTTTGGTTCATTGAGAGAAGATTGCCAGTTTGGTAGTTTTAAGTGGACTTGTTAAGGCAGCTGTCAATCACAAAATTTAAAAACTTAAATAAAATTATATGTTAATCAGCATCAAAAGCATGTAGAAAGAAATACTTCTCTAGCATCTTTCTTAAAGTTGCCAGAATATAGGCCAAATGTAACTCAGAGAGATTTCAAGTTCGGAACAATGCAATGCTCTTTCCGATGCCAGATATGGAAGCTTCTGTGATAAGGGAGGCTTCTGCAAATTTTAATGGCTGGAGAGGTTTATAACTAGAGGGGCAATCCCTCAGACAATTTTAAAAGGCTTTAAAAATAGTGCCATCAGTAAAAGCCAGTGAATACTTGGAAAACACTGCAAATCATGTGATTCCTTCACTTTGCCCAGTTTATTCATTTAGCTAATGCAAATGCTTTTTAGATACTTGATTTAGATATTTGATACTTGATTTTAGATACTTTTAATCCATGCATTATTTTTTTTCAACTTCAGGTCCTTTGTGGTTTGTTGGACAACCTGTTTGGTATAGTAGTTAAGGTATCAGTGTAAAAACTGAGAGACCATGAGTTCTGATCCTGCTTTAGGCACAAAGCCAGCTGAGTTACCTCGGGCCAGACACATTTTTTCTCAGACTTAGCAAGATTTCAGAAATGGTTTGCCATTGCTGTCTTATCAGAAAAACCTTAGGAGTTAATCCATCCAGTTGCCATATGTTAACACTGACTTAAAAGTACAGGGGGAGGGGAGTAGTTTATTGATTGCTATGTGCCATTTGAATAGGCAGGGTTAATGGGGGAAAAAGATATAATTTAAATTGACATTAAATCTCTCTCCTTATATGTTTTATTATTTTCTCTCTTGTTGCATTTGGCCGCAGTCTTTGAAGACGGTATGGCCAATGTGGGGTCTCAGGATAGATTATGCATGCTAGTGTATAGAATCTGTCTGAGAACCTCATCAAGGTCACAGGGATTCTTAACAAATAAAAATAATGTGGTAGCCACAAACTCCTGCTTTTTTTAGAGAGAATGGTTAATCGCTGTGTTAAAAAAAAAGAGAGAGAAAGAAAAGTCAGGATAGTAGAAGCCATGCTGGCTAGCTGATGCAAAGCAATCATAGGAGTTTGCCATCTACTAAATTGTTGCTTTATAATTCAACACACCCATGATGGCAGTAATTTTGTGACACAATAGTGTCTTTAGCATGCCAGCAGAATCCCAAATATGCTAACTGTCCATAAAAGTCTGGACAGGATTTCGGTTGCCTTTTATTTTTTTCTCCTTCCTTTTGTGCTCCTTTCCCACCTTCTCACAGGTGTTGTTTATGACACGTTCATGCTGAAACACCAATGTACATGTGGAAACACTAATGTTCACCCAGAACATGCTGGGAGGATCCAAAGTATTTGGTCCAGACTACAAGAGACAGGATTGCTAACCAAGTGCGAGGTGAGAAATCTTAGAGTGGAACCTTTCCCCCAGCAGCTAGTAAGACAGCTTCCAAAGCCATGCTGAAAAAATAGCTGCATTTGGGGAAATGATTTTATCAGCAGAGGAAGGCCTATCCTGGAATATCTAAGCTTTCTGGAATCATAAAATATAAGAAATACAAATATAGATGAGCCCACATTATCAGGCACTTGACAGAGTTTGTTCTGTTTCTTGAGTCCTAATAAATTTGCTAAGCTTTAAATTGCTGCAAGAATGTCCAATTTTGCTACCACTTAATTTATTTTTTTGGAAACAAGCCACAGAGAAAAGATGGTTTTAAAAAATAAAGATATGTAAAGCATACCTATCAGTCTGTATTTCCAACACAAAAGAGAAAACCAAAGAAAGTGAAATTCTGAAAACAAAAGCCACTCTGATTACAGGTTACTGTACTACAACTCCCAGCAGCCCAAGCCAGTTTGCATGGTTTCGTAAAGTGCTGGAATTTTTGCTTCAGAAACACATTATAAAACCTCAGATTTCCCTATCATAACCTGCAATACTTTGAGACTTCATAGAATCAGGATTTCTTCAGCAAGGTCAAGGTCAGTCCACTCCAGGGAATGTCAACACACTTGATACCTAGCCTGAAAACAAATAGCCAATGTACAAATTGAAAGCTCATATTCCTGCATGAAAAACAGTTCCATATACATCTTTCCTCAGTGCCATTCCATTAATTTTCAAGTACTACAGTTTGTTACATTTTTCATGCAGGAATGTGTATTGACTTTATAAAAGTGTTGACTCCCCCCCCTCCCCATTTGAGATGAAAATGCCCAAGTGGAAGGAAAGGCAAGAAGAAGACATACCTTAGGAAGATGGATAAATTTGGTTATGGAAGTAATGAAACATTGGAAGACCCAAAGGATCAGATTAGGAACAGAACAGCATGGAGAAAATGTAATTGCTAAGAGTCAGTGACTTAATGTCTAGTAATTATTATAACTATCAGACAATAATTGGGGAAACATTTTAAAAAATATGCAATTCCAAACACAGCTACTACTTTGATGTGAATTGACTTTGAACCTTGGTCCATATATATAGTTTTATTGAGGTTTTATTAATTTTAACATTTTTCAGTAATCCTTCTAGCTTCACTCTAAAAAAAGGCAGATAAGGAATTAAAATGTAGGCTCTGTCATATTCTTTGGAAAAAGATTTATTCTGAGAAAAAACAATAAGGGGGATAAGAGATTAAACTGATTTTATCAACTGAGAAGATAATTTGCTTTCTAGAGGCATATGCATTTTCTTTCTTGAATTCACCTTGCTTTTGTGGTTAATTCACATATTTCTCTAGGAAACTTAGATTCAGCTACAACTACAAACATCCCCAATCTGGCCACTTCCCAGATGTGCTGACTTTAATTCCAAGATTTCTCAGCAAACAGAAATTACATGCAACCTGGGGTACTTTGGGAGTCAATGACCATACAGCTTAAAGCTGCTGATATTGGGGAAGGAAGGCTACCTTAGTAGCAAGTGAATGCTTTCCATACCGATTTCAGGGACTGAAATCTGTTGAGAGATGGTAATGAGCTCTAGAGATGAAAATATCTCTGGTAATAAAAGATAAAAAAAATCTTTGCCTGAAACTTTGGCTGCTGGCAGTCAAAAAAAAGCTCTATTTTGGCAAATGGACCAGTTATCTGACTTAGTGCAAGACAGTACAAATGATCTTACAATTGTTGTAGATAAATATTCCAAGGGTCATGCCATTATCAAAGCACTTGTCAAGGAAGATTTCCTGCAAGTATTTCAGAGAAAGCCTAGTGAGGCACAAAGGGAATTCAATTATAGGGTTGGCAGTGCTTTTGCCTGTATATGTGTGCTATGCCATGGGTTTTACACAAAAAACAAAGCCTGACCAGAATAAAGAGGCAGCCCAAAAAGAAAGCCTTTGTTCTGAAGCCAGAACAAAAAATTAATTTTTCCATAAAATAATTTCATTTTGAACAATATTAAAGTGATACTTGATTTTTGCCTTTGAAGGCAATTACCAAGCTTATGAATTTTGATTGCAATGTTGACATGGGCCTTAAGCCATTCATGAATGCTCTGGAAGGTGAAGTTGAAGATTTGTCCACCGTTCATCTGAAATGAACTATTGGAAAGGCTGGAATGGAGAAAAGCTTAATAGTTAAACCAAATTTAGATATTTAGCTTGAAAATAATATAAAATGAATAAACCTTACTACCAAAGCATAGACACAAGTATAAAACATCTGTGTTTTATAGGAGAATCTAGTATTAGACTGAATTCTTGTTAAAAATCCTTTCAAAGTTCATATTTCAACTTTTCTGTCTAATGTCTTCACCTATTTTTTATTACTTAGAGAATCCGAGGTCGAAAGGCAACATTGGATGAAATCCAAGCTGTCCATTCAGAACATCACACATTACTATATGGAACAAGCCCCTTGAACAGGCAAAAACTTGACAACAAGAAATTACTAGGTAATTTAATATAATGTCTGATAAAGTCTGTCTTTTCAAACTTCTGTATCAGATAGGAAAACTTTTGGTGGCAAGGGACTGTATTTTCCAGCAGTGGGAGGTGGGATGAGTGAAGCAGTGAATGGGAAGAGTCCCAATTTTAAGGGGAAGTTATATAGAAGTTAAGGGAAAGGGCTCTTTGATCTATGATCTAAAGAAGTAATGGAATGTAAAGTTGCTCAGTTGAATCCTGTATTTATAAAGATTATGAAAAATGTGAGGGAAAGGAATTAATCTTATATAGAATGTAACTGGTATATATGTGGCATTTATACCCCCTTTTCTCTTCTTTGTTTCTCCTCTAAGGTCCCCTTAGTCAGAAGATGTATGCTGTCCTCCCGTGTGGTGGAATCGGGGTGAGTGAAATATGGTTGCCAGGAAGATCATATGGCAGGAAATGAAAGCCTCCCATATTCCAGCTTAAAAGTTTAATTTCTGCTATACAATTTATTTAATTTCTGGGAATAAGGGTTCACGTCAGTAGCAAGAGATGTAGTTTTCATCTGTGATGGGGCATGACCCTCCTCGAAAGCCTGTAGAGCTGCAATATGAAACCTGGAGGACAAAAGATTGAGTTTGATATAAGATGGTTCTCTATATAATATTTTAATTGCATCTTCTTGATCTTTTCTTGTGTCCTTGAATTGTACTGAAATGGCTTTAAAAATCATTCCTTTTGGGTTTGTTGTTTCTTATCTTCCTCCTACATGCTATTGAATACTCACAAGAATCCTATAAAGCAATTATCTATTGCCTGCAAGCAATAAAGTTATGAATGAGGCCTCAGCTGCATCTCTCATTTCTTTCTATTATTTTTTTAAATGGAATATATATCCTGCCTTTTTATCCATGCAGCACTCAAGACAGCTCAAATACAAATTATAAAATATGAAAATTAAAATAATGGTAAAACTAGAGTAAACATCAATATTATTAAGTCGATTTTATTAACAAGTTGCGGCAGTGTGATGGCTCAGCAGTTAAAATGTTGGGCTTGTCAGCCATGCAAAGGAGTAGGCTCTCATCCTCACCCCATCTCATGCCCACCTAAAGTTTGATAACATGCAAATACGAGTAGATAAATGGGTACCATCCTGCTGACGACTGCAGAAATGTCTTCGGACAGCGCTGGCTCAATGAACTTGAAATGAAGAAGAGCACTGCCCCATACGGTTGGCAAGAACTAATGGAGTAAAATCCACAGGGACTCCTGATGGAAAGGGGGCATCTTCCTGAATCCTGTGTGCACTCCATTGTACTCGTAGTAGTTTTATTTTTATTTTATTTTGTTTACAAAATTATAGGCTTCCCTTCTTATCTCAAGGTAACTCTGGATGGCTTGTTTGCATAGGAAGAAAAGCCCACAAAAGACAGTCTGCACACAAATATTCTCATTACAGCATCATCCCTATTATATGTCAAATAGCAAGTGGTTACTTCCCTCATCTCCTATAGCCTTTCCTAGATAGGACAAAATCTACTGCATTTTGAATGTGAAGTAGTGGTTAAACTGTTGGCCTAGAAATGAGGAAATCCCAGTTCTGTGATTTAGCTACAGAAGGAGGACTCAATCACTCTTCTGACCCCACCTTGCAGGGTTATTGGGGGGGGGGAATAGAAGGAACAAGTATTGTGTATGAATTTCTAAGCTAAAAGCAGTATGGCAATCAAAGAAGGAAATAATCAGGCCAGCTTTTGAAACTTCTGTGACCTATAATAAACTTTCATGGCAGGTTGACAGTGACACAGTGTGGAATGAGATGCATTCATCCAGTGCAGTCCGCATGGCTGTTGGCTGTTTGCTGGAGCTGGCCTTTAAAGTTGCATCAGGGGAACTTAAGGTAAATTATTCTTTGAATCCATTGACAGAAAGTGCATTAAAAGTGATTGTGCTAATCATAATGAACACATTATTAAAGATAAATGACTTTTTCATCCTTAGAATGGATATGCTGTCATCCGACCACCAGGTCACCATGCAGAAGAGTCTACTGCCATGTAAGTATATAATATAAAATGAGGGGGAAATATCTACATTTAACTACTGCAAAATTTTAAAATATTACATTTTCTAAAGTGAATTCTTTTGGGAAAGTGGAATAAGTAAAGATGGATTTTCAAAAAACATATTTACGTGCCTTCTCAAATGAAATTCCATCTCTTTTTTTTCTTGAGTAATACTGCATATTTGATCTGAATGAAAAACATTTACTTACTTTACTTAAGACATCCATACCCCCAAATATGTTTGGAAATGGACGTATAAAAGGTGATAAGATTATTCTTTTTCACAGCATTCTGTGGTGCCTGTTACTATAAGTAGCATTTTTTAAAAGGTCAAATAAGAATAGAGGCTGCATGGCACCAAAGTGAAGTATCATTGTTTCTTTCATTTAGTGGCAGGAGCATTCCAGGATTTTAGGCAAGGCTTTATCCTAGTATTATTTGGAGAGGTGAGATACAGAATCTAGTACCTGCTAGAATCATTTAGACATGCTCTACCAATGAACATATCCTTCATGAAATCTGGCTATCTGCTGTAATGGAGAATGTTGGGTTTAGGGAGGTCCTATTCTGGTAAAGTATATGCTTATCTAGCCTGGTCCAATAATGCCCTTTTTCCTTTTCATTTTGTTTAGGGGCTTTTGCTTCTTCAACTCTGTTGCCATTGCTGCTAAGCTTCTACAACAAAAGCTTGCCATCAGTAAAATCCTCATTGTGGATTGGGTAAGGTGTTTTCCCCCACCCTTTTCTACTCCAGTGGTCACTTACTCTCTTAGAAAGAAGCAAAGACCTTTAACCGAACTGCCATGCCAAAAAAGATAACTGCCATCCCCTCAGTAAAAATTTCCTCCACATTTGAAAAGAAGAAATAGATCCAGAATGCTTGCTTGTTTTTCAAAGTCCACTGTCTGATATTCAAAATCTTGATCTCTTGAGTATGAAATTCTCAAGAGTCACAGAAAATGAAATAAAATATTAGAACAGAGAGCATTTCACTCAGTTTGTCATCAGCAGCACCATCTTTAACAGAACAGTAAGATTTGTCTTTGGGCTCTTTGTCCTACCTCATGGATTTCTTCTGAAGCTTTTCCTACATCAATCTTTAACGTTCTCCTTGGACATTATCTCTACCCTAACTTGGGCCTTGTCTAGGTAAGGTAGCATATCAGCAACTCTTTCAGATGCTCAGGTTCATCATACTGTTATTTTAAGAGCTGAGATGTCATAGAACCTAATACGTAGCACACTTCTTCGGGAACATGTGAGAATATTAATCTCCCATGAAATTTTGGCATTCATGTCTGAACTTTGGCAAATTATGTGAAAACACCAACATCTTATAAGATTTGATGGTTTTATGAGCTTACAAAGGTGCATTCATGATTCTTCTACTTAAGTTCTACTTCGTGTTGATAGGATATCCATCATGGCAATGGGACCCAGCAGGCATTCTACAGTGACCCCAGTGTTTTATACATTTCCCTCCATCGTTATGATAATGGAAATTTCTTCCCAGGGAGTGGAGCTCCTGAAGAGGTATGTGTATTCCTTTATTTTTTGTATCTGATTTGTAGAGCAAGAGATGCTAAAGGTGGAACCAGCTTGGAATTTGTAGGTTAAAAAACTAAAATATTTTAATCCCAAAATTTTTCAGGAATATGAAACAAAACTCCACCTTGAATTGGGTTCTGATATTTAAAGATTATGTATCAAAAACCCTGCTACATTTAAGAAAACTACATACAAATTTGGGAAAGTTTATGTACACAAATATGTGAATTTGAATAAGTTGTGAGTGAACTGCAAACTTTTTTTAAATATTCTTATATTTATTATTTGTGTAAATAACTCAGAGTGTGAACATACCAAATACTACTTTCTCCTAATTTTTCCACACCAACAATCCTTGTGAGGTCAGTTAGGCTGAGAGAATGCAACCAGCCCACATCATCTAACCAACCTCCATACCTAAGGCAGGACTCATTTTCCTGGTTTCTAGCTTAATGCCTTATCCACTAGACAGTTTTTAAAAATAGTTTATCTAAAATATGCCATAACTGTTCGATAATTAAATGCTTGTAAAGTTTACCCAAGCCAAATTTATACCCATCTGCCCACCCTTTGTCATCCTTGGAGATTAATCAGCAATTCTCCTATTCATTGTTACTCACTTGAATCTGGTAACACATGGCTCCACTCAGTGAGATTTATGCTTACATATCTTCCCCCCCCCCCCAACATCTTGGCAGCTCTCAGCATGGTAAACCCTATGGCTGAGGGCTTTTGTTAACCACCATGCTTTTTTTCTTCCAGGTTGGTGGTGGGATGGGTGTAGGTTACAATGTAAACATTGCCTGGACTGGTGGAGTGGATCCCCCTATTGGCGATGTGGAATATCTAACAGCCTTCAGGTAGGTTTGCTATCCACAGTATATAAGAATGTGTAAAGCTTGGTGGCCCAACAAAAAATGTTTTGGTAAGCCCAGAACATTCTGTTTTTCTCCTGGAATGTGCCAGCAAAGTAACGTTTACATGACAACAGTAGTGTCATAATACTGTCAAATGTATTTCTTCCTCTTTTGCTTTGTGGCAAAATTCTAGAAGGCAAAAATTTCTTAGGTACTTAACAACTGGGATAGTCCAAGACTTTTCCTAATGAGATCAAAATAAGATGGCTGTCCTTCTCACTTCAACTCTGACAATGGGATAGTTTTTTTTCATTATGTTGCTACATTAGAACAACTAAGACACGCTGCTCCAGTTTTCTCCGTCTATGTTCTGTTGCCACTTTTTAGCATTTGTTGCTTGAGGTGACTACCTCTGCCTATTGCTATTGCAGGTCTCATAAAGACTTTTGTGGAACATTGGTTTATTCATGTTATGCTCATGTTATGCTATAAAATTCAGGGACACAAGATTTGCTTGTTGGTTTTGCTTTAGCAGACTAAAACAGTTCCCACTTTAACAATTGTTAAGTACTGTTAGGCGAAACCTTCTAATAGCCCAGGATTGCTATTCATCTCTGATTTCTAGCATTCCAAGGCCAAAAGCCAGGCTGATAATGCACTGTGTAAGTTAAAATTATGAATGTTGCCAAGTTGAGGAAGGCTTGCCTACAAATATATGGCCAGTTTAATTAAGTGCATTGGAGAAAGTTACAAAGACTCAGATAGGAAAGCTGAAATAGCTGGAATTTCCCTAATCTGTACATTACAATTAATCCAGAGTTAATGCTGTCCTGCCTCCCATTCCTAAGAGACATCTGAGAGCTGTTTTGTGTCCTCCAGGACTGTGGTGATGCCTATAGCCCAGGAGTTTTCTCCAGATATGGTCCTTGTTTCTGCTGGCTTCGATGCTGTTGAGGGACACTTATCCCCGTTGGGTGGATATTCTGTCACAGCCAAATGTGAGTGTGAGGAACGGGGTGGGGGGCAAGGTCCCTTTATAAATTTAGTTTATAAATAGATAAACCTATTCACAGACTAGTTGGGAAAGGTATGAATAGATTTCCCAGTTAAGTTCCTCTATGGAGCTAAAGTAAGATTCCAGTGTCTCCATAGGTTTCCTAATCTTAGCAAAAGACATTTGTCAGGTTAGAATTTCAAAACCAGTATGAATATAGAAGGATGTCTTATTGACAATAATTCAGCTATTTACCTCTTATAAGTCATAGCTTTTCTCACATGCCTTTCTCAGCCTTATTAATTGCAGTGCCAAGAAAAGCTTGTATGCTGTGTTACTGAGCTATAATAATAATAATTTTTTATTATCGGTGCATAACATATGTAAATGAGATTGGTTTTTTAAAATAATAATAATAATAAATTCTTTAGTCTCTCCATGTGTTTAAATGATGCTACGATAGTAAGAGCTTCAGCTCTTTTTATCTTATGATTTTTCCATGGAGATCATTTTTCTCCACTTCCTTGATCTTTTGAAGTGTGTATCTCATACAAGCATTATTAAAAACCCAGGGCACAGACGGTCCTGGGTAGTGGTTTAAAGACTCTTTAAGCCTTCTTTCAGGTTCCAAGTAGCTTGATAAATGTCTTCATAAATATTGAAGATACTGTTTACCATCACAATAGACATCCATGACTTTCTTCAATTTCTAGCCAAGAGCAATGTAAAAACTAACACAGAAATCACTAATTCGTATTTCCTTCTTGATCATGTAGGTTTTGGCCATCTGACCAAACAACTGATGGATCTAGCAGATGGGCGTGTTGTCCTAGCTTTAGAAGGTGGTCATGATCTGACTGCCATCTGTGATGCCTCTGAAGCCTGTGTCTCTGCCTTGCTTGGCATTGAGGTGAGTACAAGTAACAGAGGAGGGTGCTGGAAAAGTTTCAGTCAGACTTGGAATGGAAACATCGAAAGATATTTGTACATCTGTACTCCACTTTATTATTTTTACAAATAACTCAAAGTGGTTAGCATATCCAATGCATCTTTCTATTTAAAGCAGAGGTAGCTTAATATTCTAAGAAATAGTAATTTAAAAGTATTAAAGTCAAGACAAAAATTAATTGTTCAAGCATTGCAAAAGGCATCATCTTTACAAATATTCTGAACACAGTGGGTATAGGTCCCACGTGCTAGTAAGCAAATCTCTAATAAGATCTTAAAAAGGATTATCCTTTAGGAAAGAACATGTCTTTAAGAAGAAGGCGTTCACTTAATTGATTCATGACATTTAATGGTGTCTGCACAAGGATCCTGAAATTGACAAAATATCTATTTTTGTATTTAGGAAATGGATCAATGTAAGAAGTCCTCTAATAATCAGGGTTGGAGAAAAAAGCAAATGAGTCATGAAAATGGATAGAAGGGAAAATACAGATCTCTTTTAGATATACGTGCAGAGTTTATGAGATATAAACATAAAAATATCACATTTCTAGAAGTGTATGGGGAGAAATAGAGACATTAAAGCAAAATAAATAATTTGTTTTCTTATAATATCTAATATCCTCTAATAGTTCCAATTTTTTCATTTATAAAAAGATTTCTTAAGGCACTTTTTGATTCTGTATCCAGGACCAAATCCAGAAACCTCATGAAGCAGTTATAGGCTATTTCACTTAATTCAGATGCAACATGCAAGGGTTCTCTCAAAACCAGTTACAATTCAAAAGGGGATAAAAGAGGGATACATTTCAGTACCCCTGCTTATCAGCTTCTATAACAATGGCATATTCAAATGATCCAAATTTCCATCCTTCTAAACTGTGGGAACATTTCCCTGCAGACAGCCAGTTGTGGTTATTCCCAAAACACCAATAGACTCAAAAGAGCTCTGAGAATTTTCATCCATATTTTGCGGTAATGAAAATCTGAAAATAATCTGTCAGAAAACCAAGATGATGGGAAGATGATGGAACATTAACAGCCACAAAATAGAACAAGTGACTAGCTTTAAGTATTTAGGAGTAATCATGCATGCCACTGGCTTGAGGAGAGCCCACTGCAAATGTGATACTGCTACTGGACAAAAGGTATGCCAATGCCATCCTTAAATTGTTGCGATCCAAGGGAATATTATTCGGATTATCTGGATTCCTTTCAGGCCTGGTTACAGCACAGAAACTGCTTTGGTCGTGCTGATCGATGATCTCTGGCGAGCCAGGGATAGGGGTCATTCCTCTATCTTAGTGTTCCTTGACCTCTCAGCGGCCTTCGATACCATCGACCATGGTATCTTTCTGCGACGGTTGTGGGAGGTGGGAGTGGGAGGCACCGTTCTTCGGTGGTTCTCCTCCTACCTCTCGGACAGGTTGCAGTCGGTGTTGGTCGGAGGGCAGAGGTCGACCCCTAGGCCCCTAAATTATGGGGTGCTGCAGGGCTCAGTCCTGTCTCCCCTCCTATTTAACATCTACATGAAGCCGCTGGGTGGGATCATACGTCGGCACGGGATTAAATACCACCAATATGCGGACTATACACAATTGTATCTGTCCGCCCCGTGCCAACTCAGTGAAGCGGTAGAAGTGATGTGCCAGTGCTTGGAGGCTGTCAGGTTCTGGATGGGAATGAACAAGCTTGCACTCAATCCCGACAAGACTGAATGGCTATTGATGTTTCCTCCCAAAGATTGATTAATTACTCCATCTCTCAGTCTGGGG